ACTTACATCTATAATATATTTTGTGACCGATACAGTGTCATCAACAACATCCAATGCTCTCAACAACACCAAGTATCCATATTCTTCCTTGCATATTTTTGTAATATATTCTTTCAAGGATTTCAGCATAACTTTACGTCCCTATATGAGGAGAATATAAATAAAAATTTTTTTTAAAGAAACAATAAAATCTATGAAAACAAAGTTTACCTTTACAGAGCCATAAGAGAAACATAGCATTGCTACTTGTGAACCTTCATAGGTGTGCAAAAACAAGGGAATATGTTCACAAATGGCTTCTATTACTTCTTTTATCTTATGATCATCCGCATAAGTAAAATATTCTAACAGAATTCGGTGCATAATTATATAATTGAATGATTCTTGCTTATTTATTATATGTTGAATAGTCTGAAAGAGATTTTTAAGAATTCTATCTTTTTTCGAAGGATCTTCGGCGATAAGGTCTTTAATATTTAAATTTTCAGTTCTCTAAGTAGATAGAAGTAGGAAATAAGAATATTTGACAATTTATTTTAAATAAATATGTAAAAACTTTTTTTTTCATTATACCTTGAATAGAGTGAACTCTGGACCATAAAATTCTTGCAATAAGGACGATCGCTGATTTGCGTTAGAAAGCTCATAAACCTCAAGAAGAACATTACGTGCCTCCGTGTGAAGAAATAATTTTTTAACTTGACCTTTAAACTCGGTCAACATTTTACTCCTATATTCTGGACTAAAGAAGCATAATTAGCTACACGAAGCTTTAAATATAAATCGCTAAATATTAAGAGAACAGACTTACCAAAATTTCATAAGTTTACACACAATATATTTTGCATACTTATTTTTTGAAGCTTCAAGTAAACGACCTTCCAGTTCACTTGCTATTATATTTCTCTGCTCTTTGGAACCATATTTTAGGCAAGTTTCTATAACACGAGAAGTATCATTTTTAAAGAGAAGTCCAGGCACATTTCCACGAACGAGTTCAAATAGACTGTTGATAGATTTATTTCGTTCTTCAGGTGATATGTTTATTCGACGAGCGATTTCCCACTTTTTCTTGATATCTAATCTGTATTCCGGATCAAGTTTACTGTTGGTGTGATTAATATGTCCGGTATCTAAGTGTTTATTATATAACATTAGATTTATTTTTATTTAATAGGGATATTATTTTTAAAACAAAAAACATACCAGATCTTTTTCTCTTTTTTGAAACAGATGATGATTTCTCTTCGACTTCATCAGAATTTTTATTAAATTTTATATCTTGTCCATTACTAGATATTTCCTCGGATAAAGTAACAATTTCATTATTTTCAGTTTTCACCGTATCTCTTTTCATTATTTCTTTCTTTATGATCTTATTAATAGGTTTTTTTGAAGTATTTTTACTACTTGCCAATCCTTTTTTATCATTACTTAAAGTATTAATAGGTGATTTTTCGGAAGCAGAGCTTTTTGGTTGCTTCTTTGAGGGTTTTTTCATTTTGTCTATTTTAACGATAAATAAAACCTTTACTGATCTTTTAAATTTAAGTTTTCACTATTGTTTAGGTTAGAAAATCTGTGATTATACCTAAATTTCGCAAGGAAAACTTTTCTTCATTTAATTGATTTAAATCGAAAATCGGCTAATTGAAATTTTCGATGTTGAATGATCATCTATTTAAACTTTATAAAAAATTTTTTCACCCAATTAAATTTAATTGGTCGCGATAAGGAATAAATTAACCAATCAATTTTATTATTGACATGTGATAAATTTTTCTACTAAGAAAAGCAATTGACCGATTAAATGCATTGATTATTATTATTATTATTATAATTATAATTATTATATGCGGTTTCATAAACGGTTTCATAAGCGATTCATAGATTATAGCTAAGGCAATTTTATTATGTCTTTCTGTATTTTACCGGAGATCACGAAATACGTATTATGAAATATTCGATATTATCATTAATTTTTAATCAAATCAAAATGATCCGCCCATATGTAAAGGTATATAGTGTCACGAATCTTTCATTTGAGGGCTTTCTGCCAATGACCAATTTTGGCAGTGCGTAGACCTCGCGCTTTTTGAATTCTTCGCTTACTTTTTGGGAGCCTTCAGAAACCACATGACATTTCAAGATGCTAGATAATTATCAAAAATCATTCCGCATCCAACTTTTAGTCAAACTCGTGATATTTGACTCTGATCGTTCCTGCAAATTTGCTAGACGGTGTAAGGAATAATCAATACCATACTTAGATTAACGGTTACTTTTATTATCATTATAATTTGATATTAGACAATATTGCGATTTATTTTTTAAAAATATTTTTTAATTTATTAAATATTCACTTTTTAATACTTTACATAAAATATATAAACTTAAATAGATACAGCGAAAACTTTTTAACTAATCTTTACTAATCAAAAAATAAATTATATATAAGTTCGAACATGTTAATTAATAACTTTAAGAAAAAAAGAAAAGAAATAGAGATACTTCGTTTCAGAGATTAAATCTCTTACTTGTCCTAACCACTGTGTAGAGGTGTATCTCTTCGGTTGGAAAGGCGAACCCAACCCATCTCTTCACTGGTACTTGTCATGGCTCGGTTTCCAGAGAGCGAGTTGTTTATCAATTTATTATTCTCTAGAGTTCGAGAAATAAATAAAAAAACACCCTACATCCACCCTTAACCCACAAAAAAACACCTTAAATACATCAAAAAAAATACAAAAAATCTCTACATCCATCAAAAACCAATCGAATAATAATAATAATAATTAAATAAAGCTGTATAAAAACAGTGTATAAACTATAAAACAGTTTATAAATTATAACTATAACAATAAAGAAAAGAAGTAGCAATAGTAAAAGTGATAAAAATTAATAAGAATAAAATTTGTAAGAAAAAAAATATATCTGATTCTTTTTTCAAATGCATAACCATTTTGTATTGTGTGATTGTTATCATTATCTACACTTTATTTATCCTTAATTAGAAATAAACATTAAAAATGTCTAGATTTGGTTTTTTGATTCAGTTACATATATATATGTGTATACAACTTTTTTGCACATCCACATGATTTATCTACTTAAATATTTAGTTAAAAAAACAAATAGCTATATATTTACTTCAGAAAAAGTATTTTGCAAATTAGTATAGTATAGACCAATTTTTAAATCTATACTATACAAAACCAGGTATTATATATATAAGTATTAGTTTCTATAATTTTGCAAATCATACAGTATATAGTATAATTTTAAAAATTGGCCTTAACTATACTGATCTGCTTTAGAATGTGTAAACAAGGTATAGCAGTTTACAACATGAAAACTCAAGATATGAATACAACTATGAAGCTTCTTTACATGTTTTTAAATTTATCACAAAGGCACTGACTTTTGACAATTTGCACTGCAGTATCTTGAAATCTTGATATGCTTCTTCTATAAGTACTTCTATTTACAAAAATTGATTTATTTTTTTTCAAAATATTAGATAACAGACTGCACCCAATAAGAAAGCACAAAAAAATATTACATTATTTTTTTATTTATACATGTATCTTTCATTTAGAGCACAAATAGTAATAAAGATTATCTATTAATATAACAGATAATATTATTGTATGCGAAGTATAAAATAACAGTTTTATTTAATAAATTTACTATTTTAGTTTATCAATAATTTTTTTTTTTTTTTTTTAAATCTTTGACAGTTTTGCTAGTGCTCAATTTATTAAAACTATATTTAGTGACAATAAACTAACTTGAACAATATATATATATCATTCCTAACTAAACAGGAAGTCTCATAATTGTAAGTCTGATATCACCCAGCTGTGGTAAACATGCCTACATACAACTTGTCACACCAACCTATATACAAGTTAGATAAACTTTGTCAACCTGTCAAAGCTTTTCTCTTCATATCTTCTTTCTTTACCGAAAGTAAAAGAAAGTGATAATTTCATATCTAATACAAAACCACCAATACTACCAAGAAAACAAAATAAAAAACTAACTAAAAAGACAAATAAAATGAAGGTGAATTTTTTTTTAAAAAAAAAGAGTGTATAATGAGATGTAAAAAAAAGAAAAACAAAAGGAAAAGCCTGAAAGCCGACAAAGAGAGAACTATCTCTATCAAGAAATACTACAAATAGAATGAAAAAAAGAAATACACTATTATAACTTGTGCTAGGTTTAAAAAAAAATTTTATAGCAACTGCAATATTTGTATATTTCGACTATAATAAAAAACTATAACAAATTATTATCTGACTACTACCAGCTATCTCCAGATGTCTTTTATACCAGAGACCTGATTCCAGTTATGTGGAGAACTCTGTATCCACAGATTATATCACATATCATATTTACTAATAAACAAAGCACGTTGTTGTATTCCTGGGTATATTCGAATTTGGGAGATAAACAATGTCGATCTTTTGGAAAGAGTAAGCCAAATTGTCTACTTTTTGTCAAAAATTTTGGAAAAGATTAGCCAAGCAAAAAATATCTAAAGATAAACTACTTGCATTCAAGGAAAGTAGTTACATCTATAAAAAAACTCAACAACTTCTAAACCTTCTTCTAGAAAAGGAGTAGAGCACCTATATATTACTTTTTGGTGAGTGATAAACTCTAAACTTGTTAGCAAGTAGTATATGAAAACTACTTTAAATAACAAGTGCTGTGCATATAGTAAGTGATAAACTCTAAAGAACATTAGCAAATTTAATAGGCATAATATTGCGCAATAATTTACGAAATATAAGAAATCTGTAATATTATGTAATAACTTTCACAATATTGCGAAATAAATAATTATAAAGTATTACGTAAGATAATTGCGCAATATTATGCAAGAAATTACGCAAATTTATGCAAAATAATTCAAAATAATTCGAAACAGATTAAAATAAATTAATGTGAAATATAAGTGAAAAATAATTTGAAATAATTCAAATTATATTAAAAATCTTTGAAAAAATTAAAAATATTTAAAATTAAAAAGCTAAAATTTTTAAATGACAATATTCAAAAATGAAACAGATTTAGATAAATTACTATGAAAAATACGAGCAAAATAATTCGAAATAATTCGAATTATATTAAAAATGTTTGAAAAAATTAAAAATATTTAAAATTAAAGAGCTAAAATTTTTAAATAACAATATTCACAAATTGAGATAAATTACTATGAACTATAAGTGCAAAATAATTTGAAATAATTCGAATTATTTTTTTTTTTATAATTCGGCAGTCATACCTTAGCTTTATTAGACTTTGTACAATTCCTCTAGAATATGTAAAATTTTACAACTAGGCATTTTAGAAGGTAAGTGATAAACTTTAAACTTGTCAGC